TTCAAAAATTCGATTTATGTCAGATTGAGTGTGAATGTGGGTCTGCATATTTTTCCGTTTACGAGCACACATCCACACCCACACACCCCAGTATCTCTATTATCTTCTGTATCTCCATTATTGCCATTTTCTCTAAGAACGAACCATGCGTATAGAATGTATGGCCGTTTTAGAATTTCATTTGAGTTTCCTGAAAATTCAAAAAAAAGGCATCATATAAACCAATAGAATATCAAAATTGGAAAAAAAGCGTTTTTTTTTCAAATTATGGTAGAAAGCCCGTGAATTTGTTCATTTATTACTCAAATTAATACTTGAGTAGAAAAATAAAAGTGATAGTATAGTTTCTTCAAATCTTAACAATCGAACATATGTCAAAAAAAATTATATAAATAGGAAAATGTTTCTAATAATGATGAACTTTTTTGTAGAAATAACCAAATATATGACAAATAAAGTTATCTATTTCAATATATGAATATTTATTGTTAGAAGAAGTATTGAGTTATATATTCACAATTATAACATTACTCTATCATTACCTTTTAACTCTATCGTCATTACATTTTTACAATTGATTATTCTAGACAGAAAAAATTAAGATAGACGATTAAAAAGATTGTGACAAACTTAATATCGATATATGAATAATTCTTCATTTTCGTACGATCATGATCAGTTTTTTTATTGTTGAATTTGACAATAAGTTTCAACATTAACCCAGAAAACTTCTGTTCGAAAGAACATCTGATCGTCAAAAATGAAAAATAAGCGAATAAGAGTTTAGATTTATTTGTAATTGACACATTTTTTTAGATCATGACACAGCAAGTAAATTTTCTAGCACTTGATTCATTCCGTTTTTCTACGTTGTTTCAAGTTATCTCTTTTATATAATTATATTCAACGAAATTAAACTAGACATTTGTTTTGCATGATATGAAATGAAATACAAATTTATCAAGTGTCTAGCTCAGTTAATATTAAACTATTGAAAAAATTGTCGGATCTGATTTGAACTAGAAGAAGTTCTATTTATGAAGAATTCTTCTGTCCGCTGAGGAATATGTTCATCCAAAAATAATGAAAAACTTAATGTTTGAAAAAAATAAATGAATGTTTCAAAGAAAAAAAATTAGGTCAACATAAATAAAAACAAAAGATATTTATTTTTGTCATATTTAGTTACTTTAGCTATAATCAATGAAGAACTATATCAATTGATTGAATTCTTCGAGTAGAAAGCCATTAAGAATGAATGAAGATATGCAATTGTTATCATTGATCATCAAGTCTGCGAAGATCATTGAGAAATATATTGGACAAATATTTGCCTATATTGATTGTCATAGAAGAAACGTTAGGACATAATTCATTGAATTACTACAGAAATAAATAAAATGATGATGAATCTTATTCTAAATATGTCCAACATCACAGCAATCATATATACATTGATGATTACTTAATAAACAAGAAAATAATTCGATAACAAAATTTTTCATAATGAAAGAAAAAAATCTCTTACAATAAAACAATATTATATTGAAATTTTTTAAGATTCGAAGAGAATATATATTGATGTGACGTATTTTCATCATAAAAATATTGAACATTTGTCAATTGATAATCAATAAAAAAAAAAAGAATTTATTTTAAAATAATTAATTATTTTCGAAATATTATTCAATGATGATTGACGTTCTGCACAAATATAAAAATAAATATATTTTAAACTAATTATTTGATCAAGTAAACAATATTGACGAAGAAAGTTCGCATCAATAACAGATTTCAATATTAATTGATTTGCTCTCCATATATGTACACTATGTAAATGAATCTACAATTTTGTAATATGATTTAAATTATTTAGAAGCCATTTTAAATAAGTAAATTCAAAATCAGTATGAACAAAACTTTTCAATGTAAAACTTTCCAATCTTAGTATCTACTTTGAAAATGATCAATGATAATTTTAAAACTTCAACTTTGCTTGACAATCAAAATAAAAAAATATTTATAGAAAATGATCTATTTACATTACCTTTATCTAATAATTAATCTATTAAATAGATAAAGAAAATATTCTTTTTAATTCTAATCGAACAACTTTGAATATTTATAGCAATTAGATATTTCTAATATCAATTAAATCATCGAAACACATCACGTTAAGCGATGCTTGTCTCTTACAGATCACTTCAAACGATCCATTTGATTAGTTTTACATTCTATTTACCCTTATTCATATCGAAATTAACTATTTGGTTAATCGAAAGACTTGACACGCAATAGTTTCTTATTTAATTTTCTTTTGTTTAAGTTTTTTTCGTAGAATTTACATATTTTACAAAGAAAAATAGGGAGTATAAATTTGAAATCGAAGTGTTCCGGCTCTCCACTCACAGTGAACAGCCAGGTGACAATTTTTTTTGCTTGAAATCTAACTTTTCTAGTCACACTATGCGCAAAAAAATTGAATAATATCTCATATTAAAGCGTATTAAGTGGGCTACAAAATGCACGTTTACGTGTTAATTATTAAAAACTCATTTGTCAAAAAAGGTTTTATCAAAAATACTGGAAATATTTTTGCTCCTGATCTTTACTCACAGTCCACTGTGCCTCTAACCCTATTCTACATAGCAATCGATATCAAAGGTCAACAAGTGCATTTACGTTCGAACGAGGGGACTCAACAAGCGTTAAAGTGTAGATTTTTCTAGTAACAGAAGAAAATGTTTGTTAACGAGTAGGTTACCACGAAAAATGAGCTCAAAGATACGTTCGTATAGTAGCCGAAGTTAAAGGTCAACGATTACGAGTCTTCTCCTAGCGACCAGTGAAGAGGCTTTTGAAGCCCAATGGATATGTCACGAGTAAAATTAAACTTAGACAAAATGTGTTTTTGATTAGGCGCGTAATTACAAAATAATTTTCTAACCCAAAAAACAGAAATCTCGAAAAAACCTTGCAACTTCACTATCAAGCAATATCATTTTCTATTTGTTTTTTTTTATATCAGAAGGAAAATGAGAAAAAAGTTTAATGACCGTTTTCGTACTATAAAGAGTGTTGTATTCAATAGTATATTGAAATTAAAATTACTTTTGGTTTTTTATATCAAAAGCCACTTATTCTGAAAGGGATCGAATAATGTAGTCATTTTACTATCTGGCAGTTTTGTAACGATAAAAAAAAAGTTTTTTTGCATTGTTCTTTTTCTGCTAAATGTGTACGATCGAACATCTTATAGGAGACGTGATCCCGCTCCAAGATTATAGAATTATCACTGGAAGAAAGTAGCACTTTTCCTATAGACTATACCAACCCGTGAGATTTTTTTCTCTTTCACGCATTTTTTTGTTGATAGTGATGTGCAAATGTGAGATGATTACACAAGACCTTGGACATTTTTAGTCTTATCAATGTAATCAATACTTTTGAGAAAGAATCACTTTCAACAAATTGTTGATTTTTCTATTATACAATGATTTATGTCTCATATGTACAGTAGAGACCTATGGACTTTTCTTTTTGTTTTTATCACTATGTTTGTGTTTTTTATTAACTTGTTATATATAGGGAGACAAAAAATAACAATAACTTTTGAGAAAAGCAAGATAGAGCCCTGCGACTTTCACCGTTCGAAAGAAGAGATAAACCGATATCGAATCTTATATTTTAGATGCTTCTGACAAGCTTTATCAGGGATTTGCAGCCAAGATTGTGTAAAAATCGATGTTTTCAGAGAGAAAGGTTAAATTTTTCTCAAAAAATACGGAAAAACGTGGTTTTCTAAACAATCTTGGATCAGGTAAGTACATCATAAGGTTCAGCGCGTTCCAAGCTTTCTTCCTATATAATATATACATATTTTTGAGTTAGAGAAAGTTAAAAACTAAATTACGTAAAGAATGCAACAAAACGAACTTGTGATGCTGGTACAAGAATGATAAGTAAAATTCTTAAACGATTTGATAAAATAATAAAAATTAGTCAAGGATAGTTAACTGAAATTCTTTTGTATAATCAACTCAATATGTGTATCTGTCGAACATAGTGTTTTTAGTTTTTTTAGTCAACATTTTTTTGATAGATCTCGAAAGGCGGAGAATAATATTTTTATCCTTATAGATAAAAACATCAGGTTGTTTTAAATATCCAAATATCATATATATGCATTCGGTTAGAAATCATTTTGTCCGTAGTCACAATAATTTTTGTCGAGGTTCGAAACTTATGAAATACCATTTGTCTAAAACGAAGCTGACAAAGATGTACTATTTAGCGCTAGTGAAAATATCTCATCAAATTCTATAGATTTCAAAAAAATGATTAGACCTCAATTATGTTCTTCTACATAAAGAAAGTCTAACACAGACCATGTTGTTTTGTTGAGTTGAATTTTCAATAGAAACCCTTGTATTGAATAGTGCAATAGAAAAGTTCATTTGAGCATGCTTTATGATCGATCTTTTCTCAACAAAAATCTACAACAAGTTGACTATATTACTTATTAGTTTAATCGAAAAGAACTTATCAATATTTGAGAGCATTTACTAGATATGGTCTTTTCGGATTAATTCTTTCGTCAACCAATATGTAATATAGTCAAAGAAAGAAATTGTAATATGTCAAAGTAAAGCTTAATGATTATTTGCACAATTCTTCTATTAACCAGATATGAAAAATGAGAAAGAAATAGAAGAAAGACAAAAAAATACTTGAGAGTCAGTCAATGTGCTGAGCTGATAACTGTCAGGTCAATTCTTTTTTTTTCTGTAATATTAAGGCTTACTTAATGAAGCAGTTACGCATCTTTTCTTATGACTTGTATCAACTAATGTTTTTCATTTCTATTGATTGAGGCTGAATTGGATTGTTTTTTCTTAGATCAATAAATGACGGACGTTTTCTTAGTTTTTGTTATCGGATTGTCTGTACTTTTTGGTTCAACAAAACATTCACCGGTGTCTAATCATGAAGTTAATAATATGCTATCCAACGATTGTTTCGACTCAACATATTCAGGTAGAACTTAACGTTTTTTAGATTGAAATTTTTATTCGATTGAAATTGACAGGTACATCAAACTCACCTCTGACAACTGACGAAAACGATCCCTTAATCTTCAAAACAGCACGTGTTCGATTGCGTGATGGAGTCGAGCTGGCAGTTGATTATCTCGTCGTATCAAATACCGGACGTTTTCCAGTAATTCTCGAATTGACACCTTATGGACGAGGACCTGACCGAGTGAATTATCGGTATGAAGCTTCATATTGGTGTGAGCATGGCTATGCATTTGTTATTGCTGATTGTCGAGGTACAGGTGACTCGGATGGTGAAATGGCATTTTTCAGTCGTGAAGGTCAAGATGGATATGATCTGGTCGAATGGATTGCGAGTCAATCATGGTCCAATGGTCGTATTGGAATGCGTGGTTCGTCCTATACTGGAACTAATCAGTGGTTTATTGCGCGAGAACAACCGCCGCATCTCTCATGTATTACGCCGAGTGCTACCCTTGGCCGCCCAATGCAAGACATCCCATATCGTGACGGTGCATTTGGAGTCGATTGGGCGATCAACTGGATTAATTATGATTTAAATATTAACGTATCGCAGATAAATGAGTCGCATCCTGATCCTATGATGTGGCTTAATCACCAGCCGCTTCGAACATTGGATCTCTATGCAACAGGAAAGAATTTAGTACTTTATCATACATTTCTTGATCATCCAACATATGATAGTTTCTGGCGCAGTATCGATTTTCTCCAGGACGACTTTGCACGTATCACTATTCCATCGCTTGCTTTCACTGGGTGGTTCGATGGTACTATGTTTGGAACAATCTGGCATTTTCAAGGAGCGCGTTATCATGCACCACGAAGTGCTAGTCAATTTCTTATTATTGGTCCGTATACGCACGGAAATGCGCCTGATGGTGGCTACAATTATCAAACGGGAAAACCGATGATAACAGTTGGAGATCTTTCTGTCGCCGAAAATGCAGTGCTACCAGGTTTGAATATGACACGTGAATTTTTTGAATGGTGCTTAAAAGATGGTCGACGACCAGATTGGAAACCAGCTAGAATCTATATAACTGGAAGTAATCAATGGATGACACGAGATATTTTTCCACCACCAGAAGCTTACGAGCGATCATTGTTTTTGACCAGTGAAGGACATGCTAATAGCATAGAAGGGAATGGTCGACTACAATGGGACGTACCAAGTATAACTGCAATGGATACCTATGTTTATGATCCTACTAAACCAGTCATAAGTCAAATGAATAACAAACATATTAGCTTGCCTATAGATATCAATGCGTATCTTGATCGTAACGATATTCTTGTGTACACTACTGAACCATTGAATAAGCAAATTACGGTGGTTGGTGATATTGTCGTTGAATTGATAATCTCGAGTACGGCACGTGATACAGATTTTGTAATCGAATTAATGGATGTGATGACTGACGGACGCTCGATCAAACTCGGTTCTAAAACTGCAAGTCAACTTCGTACACGCTATCGTGATGGCTTTGATCAAGAAATATTGATGTCTTCCAATGAGACTTATCTCATTCGAATTGATTTGCATGCTATTGGACATACGTTTCTTCCCCAACATCGTATTAGATTAGCAATTATGAGCAGTTTTTTTCCTTGGATCAATGTAAACCCGAATACTGGTGCACCAATCGCTTCTGATATACAACCGCCTATCGTAGCGAATCAAACTATTTATCACGGATCTCACCGAACATCTCGAATTCGTATGATGTTGATCGATGATCCGACATTTGATAAATAAATAGGTCTTCATCACTTTCTTCCTATGAACTTCTTTTGTAGAACAAAAACTTTAGATATGGATAAATGTATTTTATTGATTGTTTCAGTGAAGTCTATTATGAAATATTGCTAAATCATTAAGGTGCGTGGGTGTAGGTGTGGGATGTGGATGTCATTGTGTGTTTGTACATGCTTCTGCTCTTCTCCCACGCCCACATCTACGATGTTGNATGAAGACGATTATCAATTGAACAAAATAATATACTTGTTGGACGTATAAGACAAAAAAACAATATTCAAAGTTCTCTTATCAATTAGAACAATTAGAATTGTTTTGAGATAATAGAAAGTGTTTCTTTTTCAAATAAGATTGACTAATAAATTATATAACCTGTATCAATGTCAACACAAATAAAAAAGAAATATTAAGAATTCAAATTTAATAGTCAATACCTGTAACAGTGAAAAGAGCATTCTGTAGTTTATATTTTGATAAGTTTATAAATTAATAGAGAACTTTTGTTATATAGAACAACAGACCATTAAAGTCTAATAGTCACTCTATGCAATACATCACGATATTTAAGGCTTGCAAAAATGAATCTCTATCAAAAGGTTAAATTAATTAGACGCAATTTGGGTCGATGAATATTGATTTTTTCATGTTTCTCATTTGGCAATAATGTCGAAATATTTTATTTAGGTTGCACTCATAAAAACTCAAGAAACAACTTTTTTACTTCCGTATAACTCTTGTCTCAACCTGAAAAAAACTATCAAGAACTAATATGTAATGAATCATAAATATCTCCTTCTATATTCATAAAATATAAAACATTCATTAACTTAACTGTTGGTATATGTGACTTGCAAATGACCTACACGGCTTATACGCTGAATTAGAAAATATAGAAATATAACATGAATTATTGACTATTTACTAATATATCTTAAATAAACGATTGACTAAGTAAAGTTGTGACAAAACACACAAAAAAAAAGGAATCATACAACTAGACTATTGATTAAAAGGTTGACTAAACCATAACTACAAATATAACTGTTATACTTTCTATGATTCAAATTAAGTTTTATATATATATATATCATACTTTCTTAGTCTGGGTTATCGAAATATCATTGTCATTTGACTCTTGAGTTAGATTCTAATTTCGATATTCGGTTTGGTCGCTACTTCTATGTCATTGATACTTAAGCTAATGTTCTATGTGTTTTATCATTGATGATTTAACGCATTGCGAATGTTTATCGAGCTTAGTTTTCTCAAATGAATTGTTAAATAAGAAAGAGATTAGAAATAGAGACTTAGAATCTCATTTCTGTAATCATGCTAATGAACAAAAAAATATAACAACTAACCCATATATAATATCTTCTTGCTGTTTTAATGAAAACGTTCCGTATTTTTATGGAGGTGTTCGAGGCTATTATTCTCTCGCACGAGTTGTCACAGCTTCTAGCAACAAGATAATTCTTTCCTACCTTAATGCTTATTTTTCAGAATCTTGACACATTTTAAGCTTACTTGAAAATAAGATGAATATTAATCAATAGCTAACTCGTTCTTTCTTTATAGTCTAGGCTTAATATATTGATTGACACATAATCTAAAAAAAAATGATAAAACATCCAGCAACAAGTTACCCTCAAAAGAAAAAAAAATTAAGATGTTTGTTTTTCTTTACGTGACTTTTAAGAATTTTAGACATTGGAAGGCCAAACTATTACTTGATAATCAAATATTTCTCGTACTTCAAAATGTCACATGTAGAAAATAGACATAAATGGCATAAATCTGAACTGAATTCATATATAACTGTGAAGCATTATCTGTGAGAATGCGAGTTGTATTGATGATAGACAAATGGATTCTTAATAATTTGATTAACCAATATCAATATATCGAAATGTATTTATTTATTTAGAAGATAGTACATAGTATATATACTTCGAAATTTTGTGCATTATCTAATATAATATGGGTAATCGATTAATTGGGTTCATATGAACAAGAGTAATATCATTTTTTATTTTTACTGTTGAACTAAAGAAACTTTATTTTCAATAAATATCAATAATGAAATGTAAATTCATCTCCATGTAGTTTGCATAGCTTCTAGACATTTATTCAAACAAAACAACATTATCAAACATAATCAAATTATCGGTAAAGTAAGTTCTGAACTTTGCAGAAAAAATTGATCTTTCGAAGCCTCCATAAAGGACGTCCAGGTGAAGAAAGGAGAGGCAAGATTTCGTCAAAACTGAACAAAAAGGAGAGGATAACATTTTTCTGAACGTCCCGATATTTACTATGAATAGTTTCTTTTTTGTTTTTCAACACAACTCTCAGCGAAATTCTCAAAGTTAGCTTGTTTTAAAGAGCATTTCTAAATAGGAAATGAACTGAATGTGAATATGCTGTTGGAATAATGCAAGATTATGCTACATTCGCAGATAATTATTTTTTCGAGTAGTTATATGATATTTGCGAGTGCTATTGATATTTCACTTCATTTTTTTTTATTTGTCTCGATTTTCTTCTCATTAAAATCGAATGTATTTAAAAAACAAAAATTCTGCAATAGGTTAGATTTTTATTTGCTGTTTATGAAATGTGTATCTATTCATTTCTGTTTTTGATATATTTATTAAATAAAAAAAGAAGCAATATATTTGAACGCAAGCAGGCTTTTTCTGAAAGTTATCTTTTTTATACTGGACGTTAAAGTCCGTCGGATTCAGGTCTAAATTTTTTCTGTTAATCAGATACGAAAGTTTTCGACCTGCTGGGTTATACTAGACGATCAACAGGGTGGGAAAGATTCGATGAAACTGGAAAAGTCTGGACAGGAGAAAGGGGCGTTGAAAAATGAGATTTTTATCTGGATGTTCTCTATGGATGACTCCTTCAATAATTTAATCCTAGAATGGAAAATAATAAATTTTCACAACATTTCGAACAGTTTATTCGTATTTTAGTGTAATTTTTAATGTAGAATAATTTTTTTATAATCTATTAATAGTTCCATGTTGACTTCATTAAACATAGATTATTGTTTATTATTGTTGAAAATTAATATATGCGCCAGAATCAAAGAGGGAGTGAGTTTTAACTCAATATCTCGACGACTCCTACAGTTAAAGACCTGTGGCTTTCAGAATTCTAAAGGGAAAAACTTTGGACTTCTTTCTATATGATGCAATATAAGAAAAAAATAATTTTTGAAACTGATGGTCTTTTCAAAATATTAAAAAAATGCATGAATATGACGCTTCTTTTCAAGAGCATTCGCTAAAAATAAAAAAACATTCTACGTATAATTTGATTGAATAGATACACGATTTTGTTTTCTCGACAGTGAGATATGACAAGATAATTATCTGAATCGTACCTGAAACTATAAATCTGAAACACATGTCAGAATCTAAATTACATCGAAACGGAACACCATTTTCATGCATTTTTGTTGATTGATTTGCGAAGATGATAAGTTTTCAAATAAATAGGCATTCGGAATCCTCCACTTCCGATTGTTGAAAGTCGCAGATCATTAATTATTGCCTTCGTAGAATTATTGAGATTACGCCCATTCCTTTTTAATTCTGATGTTGACATCAGTTTGACTTACATTGGTTGGACAATATTCGTTTGTGAATGAGAGCTAGCTTGATTGTTTTATATCTCTATATTTGTAGATCTCAATGACAAAGACTTGTACTTTCAAATATTTCGATGTATTTCAGCTAATCAAAATTACTATTGCAGATCTCTGTTTGAGTATTTAATTTGCATACAAACTTTTTTTACTTCTTTATTCGATGAACTATTGTTTAAGTTGATCGAATGCCGACGACTAGATCTGTAATACTAATATCAGTATTATACTGGTCCACGGATATCGACACTAGATATTATTCATATAAGAACTTTTCTTGACAATTGCATTCTCCGTAGAATTTCGTGAAAAATCAACTTTGATTTAATATAACATATAGTATTAATATCGATTGACTTTATCAAATATTTTCCATTAGTTTTACTTAATTGACAAATGTCAGTGTGATGACTATGTAAGTCAGAAGATGTGGAATTTCACTCAATTTCTTGCAAGTTGATTAATTCAGTGGCATTCTGCACTGTCTGACTCAATAATTAAACTGACATTTGCCAATTAAGTAAAATTAATGGAAAAGATTCGATAAAGTCAATCGATATTAATACTATATGTTATATTGAATCAAAGTTGATTTTTCACGAAATGTTACGGCAAAGCCACCTTGTTAAAAGAAGTTCGTATGTGAATGATAACAAATGTCAATACTGATACTTTGTATACTGGTATTGATATATGTCTATCGACGACATATTACTAGTATTTATATCGATCTTTCATTCATTCTTGAAAATATTAACATTAAACTTGGCAATCATTGACATTATTTCATAGGGGAAAAAAAAGTGATTATTTGAGATTTATCGCTATTGATATATTTGTTCGTGTAATATTTTCCTTCTCTGCAAAATTATCACATGAACTTGCACATACTTCATTAGCTGTATCAGAGCATCGATTACCTTCCGATTACGATGATCGTTTTCTTTTATTTTCAGTAACAGATGTACTTACCGATGAAACAAATAATGCTATTCAATGATGTTTGTTTGGTTCAGGTATTGATGCTCTTGATAATTATATTGATAATATAAACTCTATAATTTTATCTATATAGAGTTATTGAACTTAATCTTGTTAGATAAAACATTAATACAAGTAACTGAATGCAGAATGTCTTTCCATATCGTTATTACTCAGAAAAAAAAAGGAATTAGTAGATCATGAACTTTGAAAAGGTTTCTTTCAACATAAACGCTATTCTATATGATTAACTTTTATAGCTTTCCTTTTTATCATAGTAGGCAATCGTTGACACTAACACCAAGAACGAAATGTCGGAAATAAGAATCTAAGTACATTGTTTACGTTTTTATAACTTTATTTATTGTGATATAAAGCAATGATCAACAAAAGAATCGATAATGGAAAGAATTTATCAAGTAAACAAATGGGATTGTAGATCCTGATACACCATAAAATGATGAGATGGCAATGTTAGATTCATCTATAAAACTTTATCGTAAAATCATTATGTAAAAAACCATATTTTTTGTTGTACGATAGCTGTTTTTAAATTTTCATTAGCACTAAATTTTCTGTTATGAAATAAGACTAATACAATCATTGCATTAAATAAAGAAAAATACATTTCAAAAAAGTACTTTTATTCTGACCATCGTTTGATACCTTTCCTGTCAAACTTTAATGTGTATTTACTCATCAATAAATAAAAATCTTTAATGAAATATCAACAAGTGATAATAATTTAGAAACATAAAAATCTAAGAAAAATTTATTATAAATGTCATTCTTTAAGTTAATTAGTAATTTAGAAATGGATAATAAACAAAAATAAGTGTTATAAGATAAAACCAGTGTTTTATCCAACGTGGAGGCTAAAGGAAAGGCTCCCTCTGAAAACCGAATTGGCTTTCCTTAAATTTTTCGTTATTGTATCATGAAGTACATGTCTGTGCGTTCAGACATAGTTGTGATAATTTCCTTAAAAACCTATCTGTACTTAAAATAACTAACAATGTATCTTTAGTAATAACATTATTGATATCGTCAAATCATTATCAAATACAGTACTAGTCAAAAATATAACACTAACATATTTTTGAGTATCTTTTTACAATACCAAGCGCTTAACTCAATGCCAATAATGATTCGAATAGACAATGAAGTTCTCTATCAAATATATTTCATACCGAAGTTTTAGAGAGAAATTATAAGAGAACGTTTTCTGGAAAATCAAACACGATAGTTTTCAGATTTTAGAAGATTGTGTGAAAATTAGTTTTTAAAGAGTATCATCTTAACCTTTGAGCCCTTTTTCTTTTTTGTCACACAAAGAATGTTTTTTTTCATCCAGTCGAACCTATGTGTAAATGAATCGAAAATCTTTATATTGGTCTTTTCAGGCATGGAAACATCTTTATAACTCCTGACGCTTGAAAATATGAGCAGTTTAAAAAAATATTTTTCTAAGAGATTATAATAACAGTATGATGTTAAAATATTATGGAAGAAACTAGAACTAGAGATATGACTACAGTACAAGTGAGTAAATGACCTCACATGTATCGATTTCTCTCGTTTACTTTTTATGTTCTACAACGATTAAAATACAATAAAATTAACATGACGATTGAATTTTTTTCCTGCAATACTTATTCACAAAGGTATTAACGTGACAGGAAAACAACAACAACATTGTGAGTTCAGCCGGATCAACAAAACGTGTTCAAGAGTTAAAGAGCATAAAATCCTGAATAAAATAAGAAGTTGCCGTATTCCGTACGACGTTTGCTTCAAAACTTATAAGTATCACAAAATAATGCGGTTTTTAGCAATGCTATGATCACTTTCTCTTTGTGATGCTGATGATTCGTTAAGCAAAAGTCGTATAAAATACGATGATGCCTCATTTTATTTAGGACTTTGTGTTCTTTTAGATGGCAGTCTTTAACAAGTAATTTTCACACAGCCTTCTAGAATCTGAAAACCACTGCGTTTGAGTTTTTAGAAATCTTCTTCTCAGAGTTCATTTGATAGAGAACTCCATTGACTGTTTAAACGTAGGGTATTAATTAGGTCGAAAGAAAAAATAGTGAAAAAAGTTTATTTTTAGATTCTCGACCAGTGAGATGAAGACATTTTATTGCATGAAAAACAAGTGAGAGACGACGTATAAGTATACCAATAAGAGATAATAGTGTGTGAAAAATATTCAAGAACAAAAGTAATGATAAGACAATGTGTTTCTTTATGTGAAGGAGTGTGGATGTCCGTGTGGAGTGTACATGCAGATGTCACGCTTCTGTTTACACGTACCACTACACTAATACTTACACTCCTTCCTGAACAAAGTCACTTAATGATATGTGGAACATTTTCGACAGTTCTTTTTTGCTATCTTTACTTTCGGCTACATCGATACATACTGTTTGAACCGTTAGCTGGATTTGAATTAAAGGTTTGATATCCTAGCGGAAAAAAGTCAAAAAAAATTCATAGGTCTGATATTTTCGACCAGTGCTGTATATAACTATTAAATGAATAAAGAGAAGTTTTGTTAGAACATATATTGTTCTTATATAAAGATAAAATTTCTAAGTTTTGTCTGTTTTTATTCACAAATCATGATTGAAATAAAAGAAGAAAAATAATAACAATAAAGGATTTCAGTGTTGATGAATATATTGAAAAATTCATTGTTTTATCTTTAAGATATTGATACAATATAATCATTAGTATCTTTTTCTTCGATTTTTTCCCAACCAGTTTCTTTCATATGATAAACTATTAAAAAAAACAAGAAAAATTACAATGTGATTATTAAATAACGAAGATTAATAATTACATTAAACGATGTTGCCTGAAGCTACATCACGATGAGCAGCATATACGATATCTCGACGACCAAGATCAATAGCATCTGGTGTAATCATTTCATATCTATCAAAGAACGAGAAAAAAAATTATTTCAGTTATTGAAAGTCACTTGGTATTGTACATAGGGTGATCAAAAAGTTCCCGGAACATCGGTATATCTATTTAGGAAAACGATATTCCATCCATCTTTCTACGTCATATACTCGAGGTAGTTGTTGTGATATTTCATGAGAAATGTCACCATTTTAAGTCACTCTTTAGATGGAGGTGTGGGTGTAGGTGTGATTACATATTATCTTTATCCACACCCACACCCTTCGTATCTTAAATATCTTTTATTACTTCCTCAAACGTGAGATGCACACATTATGTTGTTTATCAACAGGAGAATTCAATCAATACATAGCAGCATGTTTAAACCATACTAGTGATCAATTATTGAGTCATCTATGTGATTCATTATATCCCATCATCTGTTCTGATAACTCTCATACATGAATTATTTGTTTCAAAAGATTAGTGTTTATTGATCTTATTGTTGTTACTATTCCATTTATATTAAATCGTAAAAAAAAACAATTCATACAGAGATACACTTATCAACTTTCTGTCAATAAACAGAACGTGTTACTAAAAGATGCGAATGAAAATAAATTTCTTATTTAAAAAAATAATAAATAATTTCATTGAAAGACTAAAACTTACTTGTATTCCAGCAGCATACATCAAACACAATTTTAAATTTTCGAGTATAGAAAATAATATCTCAGACAGGCCAAAAAAAGAAAGAATAAATCATTGTCTATCAATCAATTGGACTCTTCATTGAGACTTTTTTTTTCAACAAGATCATTCGTTCATTTTGTTTAATGATAGCAGCGGACAAAAACAAACAATGAACATAGATATATATATATATGCATAATAAAAAAAACTGTTAGTGAAACTCAATATGAATCAATCAAAATTTGGCCTTTTTGATTTACCTAATGAAATATTACTTATCATTTTAAAAAAGCTCGGCAATATGGATGTTCTTTATTCATTGTTGGATGTTGATAATCAACGACTTGACATTCTAGCATAAGAAAATACTTTCACTAATACTCTCAATTTTGTAGTAACAACATTAACTGATGATATTTTCTCGCTTACTGATACAATAGTTGATCGATTTTGCATAAATATTTTGCCAAGAATTCATCACAATGTTAAATCTCTTATTCTTGATTCAGTATCTATGGGACATATTCTTCTTGCTGCCGATTATCCTAATTTAATTGAACTTAAACTCTTTAATTTTAACGGTAAAATTGTTTCACGTTGTTTTACAGGTAAATAACTTAGATATTGACTAGAGTAAAGATTTCGATGAAAAATTGTTGCATGGATAGATTAGACAATAACTATTTATTTTTTATTCAGATGAATCATCATATCGACGTATTTTGCAACGACAAATTACAGATCTTATTATTGTATTCGAAAGAGATTTTAATGACATATCAGTGAAAGATTATACAACAGATGTGTATGGATATATTTTGAAATTCTTCGAAAATCTAAAACATTTATCTATTATCGGATCATATACCCAATATTTTCCACCTTTGGTACTTCGTAATTTACCTTTAACTACCTTCTTCTCTTCAACTCTTAACAAGTTATGTATTCGTGTGAGAAGTTTTGAAGATTGTCTTGCTTTACTTGATGATCGTCTTAAAAAAACTAACAACCTTGATTGTTTATATTATTAAGATGGAATATGATTCATCGAATGTTTACAATATATAGTAAGTTTATATTTGATTAGATTAATCTTTTCATTTGAAAAACAAATAATGTTGATCAGAGTAAGAAATGTTTTCATATTACTATATATAGATTTTTTTGCTAATCAATTCCTATGTATTTGAATCAATGATAATGAAATAGTTGTAGAATAAATACTCGTCTATTCAATGAGCAAAGATAGTCAATAATTCTGTATATGATATTTTCTTAATTCTTAACTATCTCGTGATTATGAGTTGATTTGGAGAAATAAATCAAATGATTGAATTTTATTTTAACCAACAAATTGTTCAGTATTGATGAGTTTTAGATTTCTTGATTAGTCATAATGGGCAGAAGAATATGTAAATATCATCCTCATGTAGAAGAAATGTTTAATAGAAATAGAACTTTTTAGATAGTTATTCATCTGAACATTTTCTTATTTTAACTCATAATGATATATTGCAATTAATATTTTCTAGGATGATCTACCTAGTTTAAAATGTTTTTCTTTAACAACATCTTTTTGCTCAACTAATACATATGATGCTCAAATTCCACTTCTTTTTCGTCGTATGCCAAATCTTGAAGAATTAACTTTGTATATAACTATCAAGAATCGAACTACATTTATCGATGGTAGTGATATTTATAATGAAATTCTTGTTCATATGCCACGACTTCATGTATTTAACTTTTGTATTTGTACCAACACTAAAATGAATCTTTTAGTTCATCATTTATCTAAAGAATACGTGATCTGAAAAAGGACGAGAATGAAATTATTCTTTTCCTTTTATTTATAGACACAACCATATGTCAGAAAATACAGTAAATAAAAGTTCAACAAACTCGCTGTCATCTTACAAAAATATATAGAAACCATTTTAGCCGTATAAAAGATATCTGTTTACTGTTTCAAGGAAGTTTCGGGACAATCTGTATATATTAATTTCATAGCCTATAGAATAATCATTTAAATATTATAAACAATTCTTACATAGACGCCTTGAAACTTTCATTTGTTACAATATATACAAGAAAGTTCAGAGTCGCAATAGCCAGAGTTGTCCATTGGGTTGCCAAATGGGTAGAGCTCAAGCTACTCGATTCAACCCTATGACCCATGGACTGAAAAAAAAACGATTTTTGGCATCTCTGTCACATGCATATCATGAATACTTTCTTTTGTGCGATATTAATAATATAAAGAAGATTAGAACTTACACAACATTCTTATTAAATCAGACAGAAAGTAGTCTTTACAAAAATACAATTGATTCTCATTTACAAATAATGTGTATTTTGAATGCATGTTTTCACCAACACAATATGACTAAAGATATGTCTTGTGCTTTTGTAATAAAAATATTCTTTTATGAAACACGATCTAAAATGAATATTGAAGTACGGAAGTAACAATTCGGATCTATTGCAGACCGTATATAAATAACGTCTCGTTATAATATATAAATTACTTCCTTATTGCATTTCTAAAGAATTGAGTAAAAGGATGATGAAGAAATATGCCCCAAAATAGATAGAATAAAACAATCTTTGCGATTTGCAAGAATAGCTATATTGTGTTTCACATTTTAATCCTGCAGGGATTGCACTAACAGCTTTGTTATTAATAATTAAATGAATGTGTCACAAATACAATGAGTTTGATAATTTTTATGCAATGGCAAAAACATAATAGCGAAGATTGAGCAACGACTAAAATGTTTTATGCTGTAATAACTTATGATTAATGCACAAAATTTGTTTCCGAAGCTTATAAAAAAAACAATATATAGAAATTCATTTCTTTTAATCTCAAATCATTTTCTGTTTTTAACACTTGTATTTGTAAGAATAATATTATTGACCTTTCATTAACCTCTTTGTTCAACAAATTTTTTCCAAAAAGATCATTAGATAATAATATGACCTGTCAAGCTAAAATGAACCATGCTTGGCCAAAGTTGAGAGGAAGATTTCTGGAACATAAGATGACCGAATTTAATCATTCAAGAATTTTTAGAGGTTTTCATGTATTCCTACCGATCTATGTGAATTGTTTTCAATAATGACGAGAATAAATGAAATTCGTCAGCCAAAATCAAGCGTTTTTTATAAAAAAATGGTAAAAAAAATGGTCTTATTATGTACTCTCATATTTCGAGCACTACTTAATCATTTTAAAAAAATGAAAGTGAAGTGCATTTTGGCACCAGTTGATCAACTGTATTGTTGACAAACCTGTAAAAACGTGCTTTTTTATTGAGTGTAAAAAAAACTGGCGAGTGCGTTACCGTAACGTTTTACTGGTAACTCTTTGCAGGAACAAACTTCCAAAAAGAAAATTTTTCCATCGTAAAGTCTGTTGTTTTAGTCGCAAACACAAATTAAAACATTTGGGTTAGAGCAAGAAGTGTCCTAGGAATGTGAGCTCTTCTAAATCGCTCTAATGGAAGAGATCCTTTTGAATGAATGCATTAACATGACCATCTATTCCTCTAGAGTCGTCACAGTTCGACCAAATGAAATGAAAAATTGTAGTAAAACTAGAACTTTCATATATCTTGCTACAGTATATGTTCCAGCTCTTTGTCATGTTAAGTTAAGGAGTTATGATCGTTCGAAGGTCAAAAATGGACGAGTGGGCTACCTGTAGACAGGCTGAAAATATGAAGAACTTAAAATAGATATATTATACAGTAGTTTTTTAACATTTTTTCCTAAAATAATCTGTTCAATCAATGTTTACTTCCCATATAATCAAATTAAATTAATGTTGTGTAGCTTTAATACGTGACTTGGAACTAAAATATAGTGCAACACTATTGAAGTAAACTGTGCCAGAAGTTACGGTTTTGAAAAACTTCTCTTGTAAATTTTCTTTCCTTTCAGACGTTAATCTATATCACTGGTCAAGAAACAAAGATGTCACAAAAGTCAAGTAAAACAATTCATGTATGTTAATCTTGTCCATACATTTCAGCACTAGCTTTAGCTAGAGAGTTAAAATTCCAGCTTTCTTTCTAGGTCAAGAAAAAAAGCATGAAAAATAACGTTGAAAATTTTTGCGTAGTTTTTATGGGACGCCATTTTTATGCATACAATATCTAATATCGAAAAAAAGGATATCAGATATGTACTCGTCACATTTTCACGACTTCATAAAGTTTTTTTCCTATATAAATAATACTCGGGTAATAAAAACGAATGAGAGACTTCAATCGTGACTCATATGTTGAATGCAAAAAAGAGCACTTACAATGATAGCTAAGCGATACGAAGCAATTACTCAATGGGTACATTTTGCAGTCAGCTCCATTTAATGAAATTGTTCGTTTTCTTACTTTCGGATAACAGTAACATGAAGAAACAACAAAACATACGAGTAATTATATAGCAAACCAAATAATTTCTCTTAGTGATTGAATGAATAGGTATATGCCTGTCATTTTTTTGAATCAAGTTATGATTCTTTTTTCTTTTAACTAAAAGAAATTAATGTATGTAAAATTTTGCATCATGCAAATTAAATCAAATAACCTATAATGACAACATTGTAATACTTCACAATATTGTCAAGAAAATTCAATCTGTTGCATCAAATGATTCATCGAAATAGAGAGCAAATATATAAATATTGGTGCATGACTTTTCTTATTTTTCTCATAGGAATTTAGTGTGTAAATATTCCTCCAAGCAGTACCTTTTATGTAATGCTACCCATAAAACATCAAAATTGCCTATAAAATGAAGTTCGAAAATATTTACGAGTTTCACATTGCTCGTATCTCTTTTATAATACTGTGCAGAAAGGTGAAATTCTAGTACAAAGTTCATATAGACTTCTAGTACATATAATTATATTGTGAATATGAGAATGCACTAGTATGTAAATTTGTGAGAAACAAATATTACTTAAGAGAATGAAAACTTATTTTTTACATTCTTTATGCTTTAGGTTTCTAATCATATTGATTGCAAATTCATATTATTATAGTTGCTCTTTTTATTCGAAAATTACGAAAGACTAAATTTTAAAAAATCTTTATTTGTAGTACAACGATTATAAGTTATTGGATGATGATTCTACTTAGGCACTTTTTCTTCGCATGTAGCAAATCTTGCAAAACAAAAATAGGAATAGATCAGTTGCTTAACACAGGATCTGATCAATATAGAACTTAAGTACTTGTATTTAACTAGTTAAACGATGATATGAGTAACCAATTCTTAATCTGAAATCCATTTGAATACTTCGCCTCTATCTAAACGTGTTTTGTTTTACAACTCAAAACAGTACTATAAAAGAATACATTCAGCATCTCAATAAACCATACTTGTTTTCTTACTATTGCACATTTGTTCAGTTAATTTGTCCTTTATTATATATAAAAGCAAAACAATAACAATATAATAATTTAGTTTTGAACATATTTAGTATGTCCGAAAAAAATCAGATTATTCATATATTCTTAAGCATGCGGCGATGTTCGATCGACATATTGGACATATTTCCATGCCATGCCCGCATGGCATACAGGCTATGTAGTGTCCACATGGCACAAATACCACAGTTCGTTGAGTCGCAGCACAGGCTATACAAAGATTTGTCACTGATGATGATGGTGCATTTTCAGATGCGTTATTGGAACTTTCCACGACGTCTCTAGTAGATACTGACTGTCCATTTATACGCTGTATGTTGTCCATTAACACAGTTTATCGATGAATGTTTTTTGATCCTTATGAAATAAACGTTTGCGAACGACAATGTTTAAATAGTTATTTACCAGTCATAGAATTTATTTCATCTTACGCAATGTCACATGTGGTGCAATGACAAAAGTACAAACACATGATCCATAATGATTGTTATCGAATGTCAGATTTTTTTATTAACATGATGCTTACGTAAAATCTTGTAGTTTTATTTATGGATTCACAATCAAAATTTAATAATCTTTCAAGAACGTATGAC